CAGTATGATAGTTAATGAATCAGTTCTCCAATTGACAGCCAAGCCAACAGGCCGACAATCCAACCGTCATGATTGCCCTCTGACACCTTTTGGAATTCCACGATTATAGGGTCGAAAATGCAATAACTCTAGTAACTTAAAATATGAACAAGAAGAAGGACATGACACGAGGCCAAAAGCAGAACTTGAATGCATAGTAGTTCCTAAATCTCCGGCATGTCAAGAGGTTAAGGAGAGTCTTGTTGAAGTTGGTAAAAGACATTGGGACATATATCCGAGAAGTTAATGAGGTTGTAGACTTTGTGACTTGATTTAAAAAATTGCTTGTGTTAAAATATTCTACTAGAAATATTAGCATTATAATTCTTGTTTAAGCTCTTGCATCTAGCTACATCTCTTGGAGAGATGCACAAGATTACCTGAAGAACTAGGTCATCGTTTAAGTTACCCATGCTTTTGTTTTGTAATCATTTTTCATCGTATTCATGAGGGAGGGTATCAATAACTGGGATGGGGAATCACAATCTACATTGGATTAGGGAAAATTTATTTCCATATTTATTTTTGCAGCCAGGATTCGGAAAGCTAAGCATCAAAAGCAGAGATTTAAAACATCTGGAAAAGTTATTATGACTTGCTCATTATGTGAATACGCATATGTCCACATTACAGTAAAACGTTGTAAATGTTTATGGAAAGAAGTAATTGGCAACTATTGTATAGATAAAAATATTATCTTATACTTCTAATACTGATTGGTCCATATCCCAGGACAAGACAGCCGAAGTAGATCACAACGCGTGTGGTTGTGAGCACACCATGAGTTACACTAGGACAGAGCCACAAAATTATTCCATTGCCAGTGACGGATATAGGGGGGGCTGGGCTGGGCTGTAGGCCCCCCCCTCGGTCCAAGAGTTTTTTTTAAGGTATTTTTTATTTTTTTTGGATAAAAAATCAGTTTTTTAGGTATAAAAAAAAAATTTTCCGCATAGTAGCTCGGTCGTGGATCCCATCCTGGATCCGTCCCTGAATTTGCAGGCGGAGTTGTCAGTTGAAGTCACCAGCAGGGGTGGGCGTGGGTTGGTTTTGGGCGTAACTCGAAACTACAACCGAGAACCAACTTAGTCGGTTTTGTGTGTCATGAAGAGAGTTTTTTTGGACTTGGAGATGTGAGTAATATAAGGGTTGAATGTAGAGGTTGCTTTTGTGGCTTTCATGGTAGCTACTGTTCCAGAGAAATAATCAGCTTTTATAGAAGCAACAAATCATCCTCTCCTCAACTTACCATTTGGATTTCCAAATGTAGAAATGTATTTAAACTCATAAGTTAAGCTGGGATGCAATTAAAACTCATTACTTTTGTTGATCAAATATCTCTCAAGTGATCTTCAATAAAAGTGCAAAGCAGACTGGATTGATCTTGATCAACCACGAAGTTATTCCAACCCAAAATCTTTGAAGATTCTCTTTGAAGATCGTCGTCAGACTGCATCCCACACCCCCTCAAGTGCGGCCACCGTCGTTGCACATGGCAATCATGCACCACTGTCTGTGCGCCTCCACGCGCAACATAAGTCGGTCAGGGAGGTGGCCTCATAATCTGGAGTAGGAATATGGTCTCCATTTCTCCACCTGCCTTCTAGATTGACCGAAAAATGGTCTGGCAAATCTGAGTCCATAAATTTCAACTATTTTTTTTTATCTATTTTCTGCTATTTATACGTGTTGACACACTAAAAGTGCAGCCCAAATTGAATAGCCCAATCGAGGAATTTCCAAATCAAATAGCCCAAAGGCCCAGACAAGATTATTAATGAATGCAGTGGAATCCCACGAACACAGTAACATCATCGCCCAAGCTTGCAGGACGCCCAAAATTTGAGCGAATGGAGTGTCTTACAGTCGCCCAGAGCAATGACCCTGTTCTCGTCCATACCTTTGAATCGCCCAGGATCTTAGCAAATATAAAATGTTATGGTTATCCAGAAATGCAGTTATTGAGCAACCTTATCACATTCCATGATTCAAAGAACCCAATTGAAGGCGGTTGAACGACAAAGAGTAGTGGCAGCAGTTAGAGACGGCAGTTCCACGACAAGTTAGCCACCATAAAGAAAGTGAGTAGTTATAGAGCAATCAAGCAGTTTCCAAGCGGTTTGTCACGAAGAAATCATCAAGGGAATATAAAAGGAAGAAAAGATATAGAAAAAAGAACCCAGAATCAAACACTTTCAAATAGAGAATATGTAATTTCAATTTTTTAGTTTAAACTTAAACATTTATTTCAGCACTCTTGTGCTTGCGCCCCTTGGAAGCATTCTGTTTAGTTCTAATTGTAAATTACCGCCAATAAAACACTCCTTTTTGGGACTTTGTCTCAAGAGGTTTGTTCCTTACACAATCGTCTGATCTCTTTTTAATTGTTAGCGACTACCCGCGCGAAACAGTACCAACCTCCGCTCTGATACCAATTGTCAATCAAAATAGCTCCCAAGTAATCTTCAATACTGTGCAAAGCAAGCTCAATTTGCTCGACCACGAGGTTACTCCAACCCAAAATACTTGTGATGCCTCTTATTTCCTAGCCGACAAAAGATTCAATTCCACAAAGGATTTTACACAAAAGAAGGTGACAATGGTTGCAACTCACAAAGAAAGGGAAGAAGAAAGGAAGACGCCAAGCAAAGCTCACAATTGTACAAACCCGGCTGCCTCGTTTTCTATCTATTGCACCCATGTTAGCCACTGTTTTAACTAAAAAGGGGGCAGCCTATATAAGTATTTATAGGTTTAGGGCAAGAATTAGGCTAAGAATTAATCTATTTGTACAATAAATGTGCACAATAAATTTGATAATGTGTAAAGTGTAAAGATCCTAGTCATTGAATTCGAAAATAGTTTTTCTAATCAATGGACATGATGTCTATCAACTCACACATTGTCAAATTTATTGTCGAATTTGTTGTACAAATAGCATGATTGTTAGGCTAACAACTACTGGGTCAAAAAGGCACAAACGGGTCATCACAAGTGAATGGGTTGAGCTACTAATTTTAGATCACATCTCATGGTATTAATCCACTATTTCAATCCTGACTGAAGCCTATGAAATTAAACTTTAACCGATACAAACATCATAGCATGGACTTGTTGGGTATCAACAAAACCCAACAACTATGTGTCACAACAGCAAACTCCACACACAATCTCTCACTTGGAGTGATTACATTTTTTTTTTATTAAGCATCGTTGCGGGTCCCTGCCCTCCTGGTTGGCGATTTTCTTGTTGATGGTGAACACATCGAAGCCACAGCTCTGGTAAGACACCCTGCTCTTTATTTGAAGGAACTTATGGATCAACATCCAGTCGGACCAGCAATGTTGCATCTCTCAGAAACGCTACAGAAGACCTTAGCTGGTATCCAAATGCCGATACTGGATATTGTTCGATTTCTGTTTTATAGGCATTGACAGAGAACTTCCGTAGGTGCTTAACCTAGTTTGAGCAGTGCAAGTAAGTCAACTCCAATATTTTGGTTCCTTTTTTATTTCTGTTCTTTAAAAAACGCTCAGTAAGACTGTTCTACCCTCGAATGGCAATTTCTCCATTACATCTTGTCTGTTGTCATTTCTGTATCTCTCTCTCTTTCTTTCTTTACTTCTTTTCATTAAAACATAAATTATCACACCTTGTAGTATAGAGTTTCACTCCCTACTCTTTCATTGAGTTCCTGCCCTTGTAGTATTTATGTTCATCTTGATATTATTACATTAACTTTTCCTTCAGATTGAATAGTGACTCCTACTGATGATTTCTTCATTTTTGTGGTAAGGTGGGAGATAGAGTCCGTGTATGCAAAGTGTTGTTGCAGCTATCAGTATCTGCCTGTTTGTGACTTCATAGTTTAAGGAAAAACATCCAAAAAAATTGTAATTCTTTTCAAAACTAACTTTGAATATTTGTGGCTATTAGAATGACTAGACATTTAAAACTGAGACTCTTGCCATATCGTGCTTCATAATTCTCATGTTTGTGCAGTTTTCTGGTATCATTGGATTTTTATACCGTACTTCTCAAATCCTTCAGCAGGTCGGCGTCAACTTCTTTCCAATCTCAGCATTAGATCAGTCTCTGTATCATTCCTTATTAGTGCATTCACAAATCTCTTGATGATATCATCCGTAGCTGTTTCTATGAGATTAACGGATGCTTCTGGCTGAAGGTAACTTATTTTACATGCTTTTTTCCCTCTTCCCTTTTTATTTTATTTTGATGCTGACAGTCCACCCCAGATTCTGTCTGAATATTTCTCAAATAACAGGTTCGATGTAAGATATGTATATTCTGAAAACCAAAGGCATGCCCCTGGAAGTCGTTACCGTTACCGAGTTCTTTTCTGTTGGAGAAAATCCAGCTGCAGCTGTTGAGAAACCCTGAATCCTATGTTAGTTCTTCATGATAGCTAAATAAAATATGCTATCTAACTAGTTTTGTACAATGCAGTTCCATTGAAAATTAGCAATTGCATGACTAATATGAAGGGAGTGAATTTTCTATCTTTTTGCTGTATGTTCTGGTTATGGTTGGAATATTGGGATCCACTGAAATTATTCTGCAACTCTAAATATTGAAGATTGGACATCCATAAAGAAAAGAAAGCTTAGAATGGTAAGATGAATTTCAATGTCTTTAATAAGACCTTATATTGAGATTTTGTCACTCTCATGAGCTCGGGGTATATTTAAGTCTAAGCAAAATATGTTCTGATCATCTAATCCGCCATTCCTCTGAAACATTTCAATTGGCACCCTGTTGGCCTATAATCATTATATTGGTACATATCCATCCTTTAACAACTCAAAGACAGCATTATCAAAAAGCATAAGAAACACTATGCATATCTCACTCGACATAATAGTAACGCAATCAACTTGTCTAACTTGTTGAGTTGCCTTCCTTGCTCCTTTTAACTATTCATCATGCCAAAAGATTGTCATTGAGTCGAAACCAATGGATATAACAACCAAAATATCATTCTTCTCGAATGAGAAGTGCACAAGACGTTTCAACATCCATACAGACCATCGATTTTCCAAACAATAAATATACAGCTATTGCAGACTGACAAACAACTTCAACATTAAATTCTATGTACATTCCACGTTTGAGCTGTTAGATTTGAAAATTGGCAAAAGACTCCATGCAAACAGGTAATTTGCCACTTTCTCACTAAAACATGCAAATCATCTGGTACTGCTGCCTGCAAGTATTGTACTTAGTCGAAGACAAGTTTTCAGAAAGTGAAACTTCATGCTTCTGCATCCTCATAGATTGGTTTGTTCACAGGAATTATGTGCGCGATCAGATTTAGGAGGATTAGGACTCGATTTAGGATTCGAGGTGCTTTGTTCTACTTGATCGCCTGACTTCAGTTGTGATTTTAGTGGCCTCTCAAAGTCTCTGGCTGCAGTGGGATCAATCACTAATTTGTTGAGTTTTTGCTCCTGCAAAACATAGTAAAATGACTTCAACGCCTATCTTCTGTAATGTGCAAATCTAGAAGAACGTGCTTGTTAAGAGGCAGAAGCGCGACTGTTCTCTTATATAGCCAAGACATGCATTCTTTATAAAACCACAACGGATGGATGGACAAATATACTTGATTACCATGAGCATTAAATGCACATGCAGAGAGAGAGAGAGAGAGGCCAATCATTTTGTCAAAGTTGGAAGGCTCCAAAAAAGTAACCAATGAGAAATGCCCACATTCTTTAAATATCAACTACTTGTGGCAATTGCAGGTGAAATGATTAGATGCACTACCAAACATGGCCACAGCTCTCACATCTAGTACAACTCCAATCCAATTCGAAACCCAACAAACTGGTACCAAAGTATGCAAGGGCATGCATAAACTGCACATAAAGATTGTTTTTATTTGGAGACAACAAATAAAATTCTATATAAAGATTGGTAACACTCCCTTTTAGATCATAACCAGAAGAGTTTTTATCACTTGGAAAAATCAAATACAGCCTTCTAGATTTTAAAAAATTTATTAATAGCAAAACAAAGAGGTCAATCTCTAGTCATGACATTTTCCTTTCCCCAAGTAACAATGCATTCTTTTAAGAAGCTTACATTTTGTAGGGCTTCAAGCTTTCTCTGCAAAGCCTCATGCTCTGCCTGAATACGAAATGGAACACCGTGCTTCTGGTACACATTATTTTGTGCCAAATCTTCATCGATATCACTTGAAGTAGTTGCAAAGGGATGATTTGCAGGAATCCACCTAACAGTGTCGGGATCCACATCAGGAGGAACAGATTCTCCTTCTCTAAGAAACAATGTTGGTCTCTTCCACTGATATGCACGTGATCTCCGTTTCTGATGTACTGATTGCTGTTCGTCTGTGAGAGTCACTGGAGCTAAACGGTATACTTTTCCACACATCTCAACAGTTGAATTGCTCTTGCTGACCTTTACCATAGGGTTGTTGAATGGGTCTTCATATTTGAGAGGCTTTGAGCTGAAAAAAATAATCAGAAAACAAACAAAAGAAAATCTAATCTTAAGCATGAAATAAAACTGAAACATGCAGTGTTATTCAAGATGTCAAGCAAATTGTCTGACGAGTTGTCAAACAACCGTTCACCAAAGAAAGCAAGTAGTTAAGAGATAAATTCAACTTTCTTGAAGCTTAACAGTTCTACTACGCCCTATGATCTGCCATTAGTTAGCAAAAGACATGGCTTCTGAAAGCTTTTTCAGTAAAACTGTTAAACTAAAACATCACATGAATCTGTCATTAACGTTGCATGCCTAGAGCTTACAGAATTGATGTTAGAACCATACATGCCTCTTCTATCCGATCTCAGCTGACCACGGCGGACAAGATCAGCCACAGAGCCAGGACGATTGTATCTTGATTTCCTTGCAGCATATCCTTTCACCACAATAACTAACATAGTTGCAACAATGCACAATCCAACAGCGAAACTTATACCAGAATATTTCTCAGTCTGCAAAAAGAACACAAAAATGGAGAATTAAATATAGGGAATAATTCCATTACCCCCAACTAGGAAGAAATACTGGAAGGAACAAGCTGGCATTGCACAAGGTTCAGATGTCTTTTGCAAAAGAAGCAATAGCTCCGAAAGCATAGTCCTAGCATTTCAAATGAAATGATATTTTCAACTGTTGAGAGAACCTAATCATTTTGCCAAGTGGCATGTCCAGTTCAAAGAAAATATAGTACATTGAAAAACCTTGCAGATGAAAATTCATGCATTCAAAAAGTGAAAATATATTTGTGTGATACAAAATCATAACGGCAATAAAATCAAGATAATTCTATTCCTAGCTAATTTTTTATTGAACAATTTTAATTCGGTTTCGAATGGTCCATGGGAATTAAACCTTCACTGTCATATCTAGCTATGTCAATTTAGCCAACCTCCCCCGTTTACAACCTATTGTACTAGGATTTCACAGCTGTTGTAAAAAAAAAAAATAATAATAATAATAATAATAATAATAATAATAATAATAATAATAATAATAATAATTCTTAAATTATACACAAAACATGCTCTAATAATCTAAGGCCTCATTCCTTTTAATATCCTCGATAATTGTAAATTCATTTTTGATGGTAAGATAATAGACTAACTAAAAAAGAGCCAAATCAGTTCAAATTGAACATACAAGTTCAATCATTACAAAAAGACTCTGACTACCTACTTAGCCTACTATCACAGGAATAAGTGGAACTCAAGAGGAAAGTATACGCACAGGCAAGACGTAGCAGTACTACAAATACCTACATACATAGATATAAAACAGTGCATACCAGCATTTGTATAAGATACATACAACATAAATTAACAAACAATTGTAGAATAGCGAGTACAACAGGGAGTAAATGGCACAAATTGGCTACCCGTCTTCCTTTATTATATTTTTATTCTACTTCATTACGTTTCTTTATTGCTTTTCCAAAAAGTCACCAAGGCATTCACCTAGACCATTAGAACTCATGCCCACCATCCCCACTTTCAAACACCTATATTGTCTTATTTAAATTCCTTTACTAAGTTCCAATTCAGCATTGGACAGAGAATGAGAAAACATTATCCAAATAAATGTGAACATATTGGTAACATAATATTTCCAGATACATACAGAAAGCCAGATATCACCTTGAAAATTAGCAAAGGATGAGAGCTAATTGATTCTTGGAACTTAGCAATTGGGTTTTGCTGTGTCTTCACTGCATTGTCTTTTAACGAGTTATTAACTACAGCCTCATCTCGAAGGCGCTTGTCATCATCTGAACTCACTGCTTTAACTATGAACTTTCTTAGCGTACTTCTACGGGTACAGTTTTTACAATTACAAGCAAATTCCAAATATCTACGAAATCGCACTTCACTTGATAAAATCCGAATCTTCAAAAAAAAAAAAAATTAGAAGCACACAATCAGAAATGAATAATAAATAATAAATAAGCAGAAAATGGGAAAGAAAAGAATGCCTTAAGAATTGAAATAGGGTTTGCAATTCGACGTACAGGGAACGAGGACGAATGAAAATGTAGCGTCCAGATTGAAGCCGTAGTTGTCATCATTATTGGTGGAATGGAAACAGAACATTCATACTAGCAAATTGAAGAAGTAAATTTCGGTAAAAAAAAATGAGCTGATTCGGGGAAGGTATTAAGGTTAGGGGTTTGTGAAATGTCAAATTGCCGGTAGCTTTGAACCGACGCCCGAAATTTTCATACCAGATTCTGATAGCTTCTGGGCTAAATTGTTTAATATGGCCCAATATCTTTCTACTATATGGGCTTTCTGATCCAGAGCCCAGCTCATAAAACCTACTATAATCTTGTAATTGAATGTGTCTGCACATGAATTCGGATTAAAAATATGATCGAATCGTGATTAAGACATGTTTAACTTACCACGAGATAGATAGTTAAATAAAATGAATGAATGATCGATTGTCATGTATACACAAATTACACTAAATTACATAGGTTAATAATTGAAAATATGGTATTAATAGGTAGATTCGAAATTTCAACACATATATCTCACATTTTAGTTTATAATCATCTTAGTTAATTAATAAAAAGTTTAGATATAATAAACATAAATCTCTTTTGTTACTTTACATTTAAATTTGACAAACTGGATAATACAGTTCAATTTAAGGTTTATTTTCTGTAGATAATTCTCTTAACTCATCACATTATTATTTATTAACGATTTTGCACGCTTACGAGTTTTGCACAAATAGCAATAACAATCATATTGGTACATGGAATGCAATAATAGTCATAAGATTTCAAGTGTTGATCTTGGTGAAATGTATGAATGTATTTTTTGCAAGTATAACACAAGCATATGGTGCTCCTACATAAAAACTACAAAAGGTCAAAATCAAATTGTTGTTGATAACCGTCATAACTTCAATATTATGATATTTACTATCTTGGAGAGCCTGTACTTCTATTGAGCTGGAACCAACCGACTCACTTGTTGCCTGCTTGATATATATATATAGAGGAGGGTGTGATTACAGGCCTTGCAATACCAAGTTTCATTGTAATCTCAACACTATGTCTTGTTTTGTTGCAATGTAAAATTTTAATAAAATCTTAGACGTTTTCTATTGATTTATTTGAGTCGAATTTAATATTGTGATCAATAAGTACCTATCATACAAACACAACTTTATAACATATAAAAAGACTTATCGTCGAAAACCTATGACATATCCATATATTAAATATGAGAAGACGCTATGTTATGCAATCTTACATGCACTCTACGTGTGATATAGTGCTCTAACTAGTACACACACACACACACACACACACACATATATATATATATATAGGCATATGGCTACAAATTTTCGCTTTATTACAATTTTGAAACAGTTTTAGGATTCAATTATTAAAAAGTTCTACATCAAGTACAACATGTAAAACAGTTTCATAGAACATTAATAAAGTTGGCACGTAGTAAACTTTCTTTGTAAGTGTGCAAATTTATCTATGCATAGGGATGTAAATTTGGCTCATCGATTCGGGAGGTCTGTAGCTCGTTCTGGTTCTGAAGCAACGAGCCGAGGCTCGGGTCGAGCCCCATTTTGGGGTGTCAGCTCTAGCCTGGGCCAGCCATGTAGCTTGTCGAGCCATATGAACCAGTCCATGTCAAGGCAATTTTGGCCCAAGTTGATGCCCAGCAGATTCGTTGGGCAGCAAAACCCAGCTGCCTTAACCAACAGCAATAAAAGTTGCCTGTTAAGGCAGCTGGAGGGAAGCTAGCCATGTAGCTACCTGAATCATGAGCAATTATGGTGTGAAAGTTCAAATTTAATTGAAATGGTTTTACTAGAAATTTTTAATTTTAAATACGTAATTTTAAAATTTATTTTTCTCAAGAAAAGTTGTACACGAAATATTTTATTCGTGTACAATTTTAACTCTAATTACGTTGATTATAGTTGGTCCAAGCCTGGAAAAAAGGAGGAGGATTATAACTTTTATTTAATTTATAATTTATAAAAATTGCACAAATTTAATATTTTTAAAAAATGTTAGAATTGTCATGAAGTTATAAAAAACAAAGAGGCTCGGCCCGATCATGAAAAAAGCTCACACCATTTGACTTGAACTGATTCCGAGCCTTGGGTTTCGGCTCGCGAGATAGCTCGACTCAACTTGTTGACATTGCTATCTATGTATAAGGTTATATGCATGGGCGGATATAGGCGGGATTGGGGTGAGCTACAGTCCGGTCCGATCCCCCATCCCATTTTACTTTTTGTGTTAGAAAAATTATTATGTAAAATTATTTTTTTGTCTTTTTTTTTTTTTTGACATATTAGTTCGGCTTAAATTTTTCACACAAAAAAGTTGCCACATGGCGTAGTTCGGTCGTGAAACAACAAAAAGAAAATTTTGCTACTACACTTAGAGTGTATTTGATTACATTTATTTTCCATGAAAAATATTAGTTTTTCATCTAAATTCCTACTTGAAGTGTTTGGTTGCTATTTTTTTCCGTGGAAAACATTTTCCAACTTTTGAAAATATGTCTAATTTTCCTTGTTTTTAAGGAAAACATTTTCCTTGGATAGAGGTGGTTTTTATTTTTCACAAAAGATGGAAAACATTTTCTTTTCTAGGTAATATTTTTCATGTCAATCAAACACACTCTTAGAGTTGGCAAGTGACAAAGTCCCCTTGTAAATCGGCAAAAACGATCTGTGGCCACACAAGATTTATGCCGCGCGTAATAGCTGCAACAACAAGCTTCTTATGTGAAGTAGTGACAGAATCAAAGACACTAAAGAAACATGCTCATTTCATGAATAAAGCGTCAAAAATCAAAATACAATGTTATTAAGGTAAGAAAAATATGTGGAACTAGAAAGAGCCTTTGTTTGCTATTCGTAACGCATTCTTTTATCTCATCGCCAATGTAATCTTTACTGTTGATTTCACAAAAGTCAATGCTTCTAATTTCATCGTCTTCTTTGCTAGTTGTATAAGTCATTGAATGATTATATCATCAAAATATAAATATACTTTTTAGCGTACACTCAATTTACTCTTATTTAAGAATTTTATACATGAAAATTTCATAATAAGTGACTGCAATATTGAAAAATAACATCTTTTCTCTTCAAATCTTCAATCCACATATCTGTAGGAGTGATATTATTCATCAAGAATTAAGTCAACATGCATTTCTCAACTTAACAGGATTTTTTTTTTTTTGCATTTTTGGGTCAAAGATCGATACAATGAAGGTTCAATGGTACACTTAATAGTTGGTATTATAAATCTGGCAATTCCATTTGTATAGAAAACTGTTTCACAAAAATGCACCAAAAATCTCACATTGTGCGAGCCCATGTTGTGATAAAAAAAAAAATACCAAAAAATCACCCATCCTCAATGCTGTGTCTGTTTTGTAGTGTTTCTATTGTACAATTTGTTTCTGTACGCACAATAATGCTCTTATAAATCAATATTCTTAATGTTAATTACCCATTAATTGAAAACTATACCCACGTGATGACAATGTATTGCGTTATAGTGGCCCTTTTTCTTGGTCTTCCATCTTATTTTGTTGGGTGGCTCTCATTGAAAGGGAATAAGACATGGTGGTATAATATATTATAGTACCATTGAGTTGGTCTATTCTTACCTCAATTGGTCCATGAGCCAAGAAAATGGTGTGTAATTATAATTTATAGTACCATTAAGTTGGACTAAAAGTTATCTAAACTGGTCAACGACTAGTTATGGTAGTTTAGGAGAAATGAAAAAGTGGGTAGTTGTCTCACCGGAAGGTTCATTCACACGATAACATTCTGCATATATTTAATGATATCTTTGGCATTATAATGATTTTTTGACATTTGGGGCATTCTTCTTGGTAGTTTACCGACTATGGCTGTGTCACCTCTCTTGTAGGGGCGGACCCACATGGAATCAAGTGGGGTCAAATGACCTCACAAAATTTTGTCCTTTTTTTATATATTAACAATCTACTTTGATGCACTTGTCGGGATGTCAAATAAAATCAAAGTATTGTATTCTTAATACCATTTCTAAGTGTTTATGACCTAGTTTTTCACTCATTAATGGCATGCGAAGTGGTTAACTATAACAAAAGTTATGACATATTAAAATAGGATGTTTGAAACTAGTATTTTGAGAATTTCGATATTATCCTAACCTTAAAAATTCGTTTGCGATCATGTACTATCTGAATCCACAAATCATGTATGCCATATAAAAGTTTTTTTCGAAAAATACATCGTTTTCATATCGAATGGTCCAAACGAATATTGAAAATAGTTAAATATGTATCAAACGTACGTCTCAAAAAAAATGTCTAACTCGTTTTTTATTTTAAAAAATTCAATTAATTATTATTTTTACACGATAAATTTTTCAATATAATGTATATCGTTTCATTCGAAAGTCTTATATGAAATATGACGTAAATTTTTTAGGGTCGTTACAGAATAAATGCAATTTGAATTACTTTCGAATTATATTTTCTTTAAATTTGAATTTCATTTACTTCCTGAACTAAACTTGAATATTATTTCAATTCATTTAATTTCTATATTCAATTTAATTTACTCAATGTTAGCTCAGCATTTGCCAATGAAATGATAAACAAATTATACAAGTAGCAAAATTTATTTAATAATATTAATAATAATGTAATTATATAACGTTTTCAAAGTGTCAAAATATATATAAACTTATTTTCATTGATATTATGTTGCTTATTAAAAAAATTATTTTTAAATTTTTGACCTCACAATACTAAAGGTCTGGATCCGTCCCTGCTCTCTTGTAAAGTCACTCTCAAAATAATTTTTATTTTATCTTAAAATTTCAATATATATATATATATATATATATATATATTTGACATTTGGCGGCATTCTTCTTGGTGGTTTACCAACTATGGTTGTGATACCTCTCTTGTAGAGTTATATATATATATATATATATGATGAAATGATGAACGTCGATGCTCATATGTCAAAGATTGATAACGTGTCATATTATAATCTATTGTTGAATAACAAATGTAATTCAAATTTTGAGATTTACCAAAACTCTCTCTTTTATAGAAATGAAAAATAATGCAAACTTCACTTGATACTTTTCAACCAGTTTTTAAATCCCTTTGCTTTATGACACTTTTTTGCTTTGTTATAAAAAAAAAAGTTAACCAAGTGCAATGACTCTAAATGATATCTATATTTATAATATATTAAAATATCACATCAAGAGAGAATCATATTTTGGACGTTTTTAACTCCCTACAATTCAATTATTTCAATAATACCTTACTTTTCGTTTTTCGATACATAATAAATACTACACAATTATTATCATTTATGAAATTTGTGTTACTAATTCTCATTAATTTTATTCACGTTAACCTAGATTGAATGAATCTTCACTAGATGAACCCTGAATTACATGAATCTAGAATTATTATAAATGAATTTATTCATATTCATATATCTAATAATTTTAATGAGTGTTTAAATTTATGAATTAACAATTAATTTTTATATATATCAAATGTAACATAAAAAAATTGTTCATTTATAGTATTTCATCATTACAGAAATTTGAATCATAGAAATTGAGTACAATTTTCTACTCTTGAATTTTTTATTAAGTTTTATTTTTTTTAATTTGTTCGAAATTCATCAAATCCTCAAACAAATTGGTACCAAATATTGAATAGTTTATATAAATTTCATTCGTGAGATATTCCTATAATTTATTCGTCTTATTGGTTATAAACGAAGCCCATTTTACTGTAGTACATGTTTTGTTGGATTAAATTCAACGCAAAACTAGAAAAGCAACATTAAAGACACCTTAAGAAATTTGTTGGATGCCTTCAAAACTTTTAAAGCCTTTGTAGAGCTACGAAAGGGTACGAAAATGAAAGCTGTAAATATTTTAAAGATCGAAAGCATAATTGCAGATGTGACAAAAGTTGTGCAAATTTATGGTAATTATTTATCAGAACATTTTTTTTGATGATACCATATAGACTAAAGTTAGAACTTGATAAGAAAGATGAATCTCTTTCAAAATATATTTTAAAACTCCGCTTGGATATATAAATTATAAAAATATTATAAACATAAATTAAATATTAAGAACATTGAAGTTATCGACCATTAAATCTTATTGACAATTTTCTAATATCAAGAGACTCATGTTTGAAGATAAGCAGACTAGCATACGTTTGACAAAAGTTTATAAACGATTTAATATATAAATAAAATAATAAGTGACGAATAATCTTGTAGTATTTATTAATCTCACGAAATATGTTGAGATAAAATAATTGAGATATACTATACAATCAGGGTTGGGGATAGAGTTTTTTAATGGAGGGACATGCGTCAAACAACGATTAAATAATTTAAAAGAATAAAAATAAAAACACCAACAAGTTGCTAAAATGCAGCCAGTATCCCTAGACCCTTGACTAGCATGGTACAAAATAATTTAAGTGTTTGCCAAACATATTATTGACAAAAAAAAAAA